AATTCTAGGGACATCACATACATTCTACGTGAGTCACGTAAAACTGAGAGGAGAGGAAAAATTGAGAGCTTACGTGATTTTTCACGTAGCGTCAACGTGTAGATTATTTTGAGTGTAGCGTAATGACAGCGGAAACGCAACGGCAGCGGCAGCGGAAAAGCCTGATATGTGTAAACCTACTTGTCGGATTTAAAACTAATTAGAAACAAATCGACTTCGGTTAGGCATCTTGATGTCAGTCTGACAAACTTTCCGTTTCTGTTCCGCCTCCGCCCACATTTCGTTTAGGCCTTGAACCTATAGCTGAAAATGAAGACAACCTCAACAGATAGACAAACTACCTGCATACATTTAAATTTTGACATATCAACATTCTTTTGATCAAGGCAACCTCTGAGCGTCGAAGTCAGCTTTTTAGTTGTGTTTGTCCATTCGTGGCTGAATCTTATAGACATTCGGAGGGCGAATCGGGCCATTCAAAGACTCACACTGTTTACAACATTGGATATAAAGCAGGCGTTTCACCAGGTGGAAGTAACGAATGATTGCCGAGATATGACAACATTGATTACAAATTGGGATTTGTTCCGATATAATCGGTTACTTTTTGGTGTGAATTGTACACCAGAGTTGTTCCAAAACCTTATGGAAAGCATTCTCGCAGATTGCAAAAATACAGTTGTCTTCATCGACGATATCGTGATTTTCGGGTCCACTGGAGAAGAACACAATTTGGCAGTTAAACAAACCCGGACCTAAAACAGCACAAAAGGTTATCTTCCATTTAATTCCACTTAAATAATGTTGGTATCGATGACATATACGTATTTCGACTACAATGTGCAGTCTTCGTCAGTGTCATTCCCAGTGTGGGAATCAAATTGGCTCACTACTTGACTAGCCTATTGATCCCAAGCAAATCGATTAACGTACCCCATTCTAGTATAAATTCTAGTACTACACTATGATTGTTTTGATTCACTATGAAAGTTTGACAGATAAAATGAGGGGTTGGTGCATTTTCCTATGTTTCGAGGGGTGCATCGATTAGCTTGGGACCGAAGATAGTACCAGAGCTGAGCCAAAAAGTTGAGCTCGTTTCTTCGGGATCTTCTGGTCTTAGAGTTACCTGTATGGTTGTACCATAGAGGTAACTCTAAGACTGGTACTATCTTCGGTCTAAAGCTAATCGATTCACCCCTCGAAACATAGGACAATCAAATTAACCCCTCATTTTATCTGTCAAACTTTCATAGCGAATCAAAACAAACATTGTGTAGTACTAGAATTTCGACTAGAATGGGGTACGTTAATCGATTTGCTTAGGACCAATAGGCTAGTCAAGTAGTGAGCCAATTTAAAATCGATAGTTTCGTATTGATTGTTGACCATAGGCCACTGAAAGCTCTATTCACGGCCACTTCGCGACCAACTGCTGGAATTGTGAGATGAATGCTAGTTCAAAGTAAAGTTTATCGTAAAGGGTCAGCCAACTTGACTGATGCTCTTTCTAGATTAGATCAAGATCGCACATTAATGACAATGAAGTGATGAATGTGAGATGTTTATACCATAGAGGTAACTCTAAGACTAGAAGGTCCCGAAATAACCTGCTCAACTTTTTGGCTCAGCTCTGGTACTCTCTTCGGTCCCAAGCTAATCGATTCACCCCTCGAAACATAGGAAAAACCAATCACCCCTCATTTTATCTGTCAAACTTTCATAGCGAATCAAAACAAACATTGCGTAGTACTAGAATTTCGACTAGAATGGGGTACGTTAATCGTTTGCTTGGGACCAATAGGCTAGTCAAGTAGTGAGCCAATTTAAAATCGTTAGTTTCGTATTGATTGTTGTTTATACGGTGTTTTTCAGCTGAGTCGTTGTCAGTGTTGACAGGTGTGATGAATGAAGAAGATTTTGATCCCAAAACAGAAATCATCATGCGTTTTATCCAGGAGGCTGCCGCTGTTGACATTGAAGAAGTCATACAGTAATGAAAGTGTGTATCATAAATGACTCTTGGAACTGTGATGATCTGAAGCAATACATCCCGTTGCGTCATGAGTATACGTATGTGAATTCACTTATCTTGCGTGGATCCAAACTGGTCATAACCGAAAGCTTACGCCAAAGGATGCTTCATTTAGCTCACGAAGGGCACCCATGACAGTCCCTGATGAAACGGCGCTTACGAGAACGATGCTGGTGAAGGAAGTCGATTAGTTCAACTTCCCGCTCCGCCGGAACCGGTGATCCTACGACCGTTACCCGATCGTCCGTGGGTCAATACATATTGCAATTGATTTCCTCGGGTCAATGCCATCGGCAAAATACATGACGACGAGCTACAGTCGTTACACGTACACGTACACGTACAAATCGTATAAGTTCAGAAAACTTCGTAGAAGTGGACGCAATTTTCCAGCAATTCACAGAACTTTCCACAAATTTAGGGAACATACTAGAGGCTCAGGGATAAGTTAAATGGTTTGGGAAGAAGTTCAGTGAGCTTTATTTGAGCTTATGGAATTGAATTAAAGAATCTTTGTAGAATTACAGGAAACTTTGTATCAGTGCTGATAAAAATCATTTCTTCTCAAGGGGTAAGTCACTCAGCACATTGTGCCGAAATTAGATTCGGTACACCTTCGGCACAATTTCGTAGGCATTGGATTGTTGTCAATATATGGGAGCACTGCTGGACAACTGCCATTGAAGTTGTTCACAACATTGCGTTCTGTTTGACTGTATATTCAGGAACATCCTCTAATATACCGGAGGAATTCAGATCAGCAGTTCACTTATAGATCTAAATACGAAATGTAGGTTCTAGAGTGGGCTCAAGAGAAGGAGGCAGTTAATCAGACCCCATTGGTACCCTTAATTCAAATAATGCTGCAACTCACACAAAACAAACTACAGAAGTCTATACATCATACTTTAAAGTCAGTCTCCAACAATGTTCACCACCGGTTCCAACTCTTTCTGGCCGCTGATAGACCGTTGCTGTCAAATCACGAAAGGCTAGGTTTCTGGTCTGCCTTTGAGGGCATTATAAAGCACTAAAACACAGGACTTTTGTTATCCTATGAACACAAAACACCAAAATTTCGACAACCCGCCACTTCCCGCGTCATCCTCAATTCGATTTATTCTTGCGATTTCAAACCAAAACATTCAACGTGTCAGAAATACCGGGCTGCCGGGATGGATATTTTACAAACAATCGCAGCTTGCTCTATGACCAGCACAACGAGCAGCAAAATCAACACACCTGCGGCACACTTGTGGCACACTGACAAAAAAATATGACCCAAGATTGGTGTGCCCCTTACCCCTTGTTACTTCTACACTCAACTTAGCTGAAAATAAAGATAACCTTAACAGATTGACCAACTACCTGCATTAATTTGAATTTTGACACAACAGCATTCTCTTGATCAAGGCAACCTCTGAGTATCGAAGTTAACATTTGTTTTTCTTCATTCGTGGCTGCGCTGGATGTTCATTATCGCCTCTATTGTTGGCAATATTAGTAATTATCCTCATCTTTATCGGGATGATTTTGAGGATCAAATGTAAAATAATTATTTTCATTTTACACAAACATAGCGCTGAAGAACGTGTCGTGTTATTTATGATCATATCGAGGTATTTGGCTTTGGAGTCGACAATATTCATAATAATCATTTTGTGTGAAATGATGTTGCTTTTGAGGTTCAATTCTGATTTAGAAAATTTTCGGTTTGATAATCAAGCACTGGTGAATATCAACAAACGCGTATTCGTTGATGTTGTTCATTTCGATCGCTATTTCAAAACAAACGCAATTCATCTACACTGGGTTGAAGCGCTACTCCTTGCGTGTGATAGTAAATGATAAAAATAGACACTGCTTTATATAAGTTCCATGAATTTTCAATGTGATTTATTAAGTACTCCGTACTAAAGTAAATACTAAAACTAAGTGATTGATTGAGCTGAATATCGCGTCTATTATGACTCAATTTTATGTCAAAATTGACGCTCGTATATGTCAGTCTCAGAGCACCTAAATTTACATCAATTTTTCTAAGTGTGTACCTTCAAAACGAATGAAGAAATTCAACCTTTTTATGAGATGTTTGCATGTGGCAAAATAGTGAATTAAAGACTATGGCCAATGAGCAGCAGTGTTTATCTTAGATATTCTGGAAAAATCAAGGGAAAAATATAGCAATTCCTCCATGCGATGCAAAAATAGATTGCTCCGATAATAATTCCTCAAGCTCTCTGAGGTGGGCCAGTGTATAATAACGAAATCAAATTTTAAAATTGAGGATCTCTACAGGTTCGGCATACAAGTAATTTGGTTCCGAATTTAAATTTTAAGTGCGAAATTACTCTTGATATCTGATATCTGTTACTGCTGTTCATAAATGCTAAATAATTGATTTGTTTGAATTGAGGTGCCGCTCCCAATAACACCCCGTTATCCAGGAGTTACAAATTAGGATTCAAACGCACATTTCTGATGATATCATTATTTTAATTTTTCAATTTTAAAATGAATTCATTCAAATTGAAGCTCGGAAAAAAATCAAATTGACAAACCACATAATGTGTGGGATCGTCTGACAAACCATAATCAAATGCGGATAATTCACTCATAATTTACAAGTTACAGCTCGGTTGAAACTTTCTGTTTTGCAAAATCCTCATGCGAAAGTTGGTTCTCCCGCCCGACGAAAATAAAGTAAACACAAAGCAAAGATCACAATCACTCTGTGGCCGTCGTCGTCGCCAAATCGAACCTCTCGACTCTGCGACTCGAGCAGCTGATGCGAGAGTAGGTGGATTAAATATATACAATCGCAAACAATATCGTAACGGAATTCGGGCCCAGGACTTGCACAAACTTCAACTTCAACCTGCGAAAGCTGCTGTGATATTGGCTGCATTCGAACGCGTGCGTGGCGAAATGTGTAATTGTTGCACATGGTTATTTTTATACTTACCAGTTATTGAAACGTTAATCCAGTTTGGTCTCATTTTTTCTCTCGGTTTGTCTCCTTCTGCCTTCTGCGCGGGTCTTCAATCTGTTTTCTTTGGCACGTCGGTCGGCGACGGATGTTCCTTACGTAATTTCGATACACAAATCTCCAACCAACGAACGGTCGGTCACTGCTAGTGGTGCTTCGAACAAATCAAATCTTAGACAAAACCAGTTGAGAAAAAAAAGACAGTTGCAATCTTTCAAACTTCTTCAACTGCTTCCCTTCGATGCTGAACGGGAAAGCGCTTTTTGTTGTTTGCTCAATTCCCTCAAAAACTAGTTACATGCACAACTCTCTTCACTTCCTTGATCTCTGCTGTATCTTTTTTGGCTGCCAAAAAGGCCAATCGAAAGACGTTTATTTCCTTTCGTCACTTGCTTTTCAAAAACCATATATTACACAACCGGGCACTTGAATAATTTCCTCCACGCGCGCCGAGCAGTTGACAAATTACTTCACTGCTTAAAACCGATGACGACCACGCTGCAAATGCGCACTCACTCACTTTTACTCCGGTGCAAATTACGAATATTGAGGAGCTGATTCTGTTGAATTTCACCTCAAAAAACTTGCGCGCCACTTCAAGCGACGAACCCGACCGTCGTGGTTAAGCGCCAATGCGAAACTGCACGACCGACCGACCCAAAACGGACCTCAAAGTCAAACCCTCCACAATCCAAACGATGACGAGCTGGTTGGTAGGAGAGATGGATTCGGAGAAAATACATCGATCTTAAACCCAAACCGTCTGTCTCTGTCCGCGCAAGGACTGCACAGGCCGACAACTATTGTAGGAATAGGTACTCACTACCTTTCCTACTCCAGTACCGCCGCACAGTGGGGTATTTTTACCATTCTAGCTGGCCAAAAATATGAAACTACCCCAAGCTGCCAAAAACCGATTTTTTATTAAATATTTACAATGATTTGAGGTCAAACAGAGGCTGGGTCATGTTTTAAGAGGGAAAGTCTCCTTCTGAAGAATTTTCTGATTAAGTTACACTTCCGAGCATAAGTTTATGGACACCCCCCAAAAAAACATGACAAATTTGTTATGTTCATATCTCTGTCATGTTACGTCCAATTTTCGTTCTCTTTAGATCATTTGAAAGGTATTAAATGGAACTTTCCTCGTAAGCAAATTGATCAATATAATTTTCAAATTTTGTGTGCTAAAAGTTCACCCAAAGTTACAATCCTTTTCAAAATTTACTCTGAAGAACCGTGACTGTTTTTCTCTGAATTGGATTGGCCAAATTTTGAAATAAAAGTAGTAGTAGAACCAATCTTGGGTCATCTTTTTTATCAGTGTTCCGCAGGTGTGCCGATTGTGCCGGTCATAGAGTAAGCTGTGATTGTTCGTAAAATACCCATTCCGGCAACCCGGTATTACCATAGAGGTAACTCTAAGACAAGTAGGTCCCAAAGAAACGTGCTCAACTTTTTGGCTCACCTCTGGTACTATCTTCGGTCCCAAGCTTGTCGAATCACCCCTCGAAACATAGGAAAAACCAATAACCCCTCATTTTATCTGTCAAACTTTCATAGCGAATCAAAACAAACATTGCGTAGTACTAGAATTTCGACTAGAATAGGGTACGTTAATCGTTTGCTTGGGACCAATAGGCTACTAAAGTGGTGAGCCAATTTAAAATCGTTATGTTTCGAGGGGTGAATCGATTAGCTTGGGACCGAAGAGAATACCAGAGCTGAGCCAAAAAGTTGAGCACGTTTCTTCGGGACCTACTAGTCTTAGAGTTACCTCTATGGTAATACACCAGCTGAGGTTCACTAGTCGAGGGTTGATTACCCGGTCATCGCCTATAAAAAATGCTTTAGCTACGATAAATCCTGTGTGTTCATAAGAATCAAATCCCTGTTTACGATATCTTGACGACTAATGCGGATTGATGTCACATAGCACCGATCAATCTGTTATCAGATATGAGCCGTCCTGCATGTGATCTCATACAATTTTATCGCTTACTAAATTTTAAAAATGCATGATTTCAACTCAAATAAATAAAATCTCGAGTAGGTAGTTGACGTCTGTTTTGACTTTTCATTGAAGGTTTGTATATGCTGAACAAACCGAGACTAGTTTGATCAGTTTTGAGTAATTATAAGTTGCTCAAATCTACTCGCTGCGAAACTATTTACTATTTACAGCTGACTTGCCCCTTGGAGAAAACCTTACCTTAATTCGAAGTGTTTATGCAATTAACCACTGTACGACTGAAAAAAAACCATTTTGTCTGGATGGTTGAGTAATGCTGAGCTATTAGGGTGTTCAACACCCTGTTTGGAACGAGGATGACGCGCTTGGCATTACTGGCTCACAGCGACTCACTACTGAATCAGATCGGTGCGTCTTCTTCCTCCTTCTGTTGGACAAATGTTCAACGCCACGCGCCGAAAGCACTATGCTGCTGTTGACGACCGACCGGACACCACTACACACGGTGATTGAATAAGCACCGTTCGGCGAGACCGGAAGAAATTTGATTTTGAAATCTGTGTTAGGGAAAGCGCGTTTTGCGGGCAATCGGTGACAATTTTGATCACCATTGCAACAGTTGGACTTTTGTGTAATTTTCAATAGTGACCTATTGAAAATTGATAAACTGATTATTAACAGATTTGTAGAAAAATTTTCAACTGATTGGCTTGTTTAGAATTTAAATCCATCCGCTATTGACAGAGTGATAAGTGGTCAAAACCAGTCAACTTTTCGTAACACGGTGGATTTTTTTTTTTTTTTTAATTGCACGCTCCGAGGCCGATGAAGTACTCCTCGTATTTCCTGACCGAAATCCGAGCCAAATTGAGTACTTTATCTAACTGCTCCTATACCATCACTTTAGTCTGGGTCCGATCTCATTGCTCATTGCGGGTAACGAGAAAGCGGACTCGTTGGCTAAAGTGGGCGCTATGTAAGGCGCTATTTTTTATCGAAAAATCGCCTTTGTGGATTTTTCTCAATTACCCGTCAGCAAGTCCTCACCAACTGGCAACAAAAATGGAATGAGAGTGATCTGGGAAGATGGTTACATTCTATTCTCCCACAGTTGTCGAACAAGCCGTGGTTCAAAGGGTTGGACATGAGCCGTGACTTTATACGTGTCATGTCGAGGCTCATGTCCAATCACTGCTCGTTGGATTTGCATGTCTTTCGAATAGGGCTCGCGGGCAGCAATTTGTGTGCTTGTGGTAGTGGTTATCACGAGATCCATCACGTGCTTTGGTCATGCACCCTCCATTGTATTGCTAGATCCGAGTTATCCGCATCCCTCAGGGCTCGAGACATCTTGGCGAGCCGAGATCTTGACTATTGCAATTCAATTTATGTGTGTTTTAAAACGAATAGATCTGAGGATTTAGTAGAAAGTGTCATCTTGTGTTCCCCAAGTTGTTAGCTGCCCATCGTTGTACCCCCATGTTTGTCTTTTTCATCAGTTTGTCGCTTAGTTCGAGATCAAGAGCACATTGCTCTCCAAACCTTGTGTTCCCAATCCCTACCCTGCCATCCATTTGTTTTTTACCTCTAACCTCGAGATAGCCGCGAAAAATCGGCCCCGCTTTACTAACGGTAGTTTTAAGTATTATTGGAGGCGAACCAGCCCAAGGCTGAAAGCCTCCTTAATAAAGCTAAATAATAATAATAATAATAGTTTTAAGTAATTTTGTAATCTAAACAATGAATATCGGCTCCGCAAAGCTACGGCAAATGAGCTTGGAAAAATAAACGCATTAATAAAAAAATAACCACAATATATTGCCGAAAGACATCGCAATTATTTTCAAAATTAATGTTTTATCGCTTTAAACAAGAGGCAAGCCAGCTGTACTCAGAAGTAATTTTGTTTTGCAGTGAGTAAATATGAGTAACTCATAATTACTCAAAATTGATCAAAGCAGTCTCATATTCATCAACAAATTATAATTGAAAAAAAAATTGAATAAACGAAAAAACATCAACTGTCAGAGAGATCTTCTTCGTATTATTGTATAATATTGATACAAATGCTAACCAATCTAATTTAATACATTTACAGGAGTGTACCCCATTAGGCATAAATACGTTAGGCATAATGGACGTTAGACATAAAGTCATTAGGCATAATGGACGCTAGGCATAAAATACCTTGCTGCTGTGCAACTCTAGAAACCTGTTTCGAACATGGTAAACAATGATTAAATTAGGCTAAGCGTTGAATAAAAAATTATGCAAGATAAACAAACATAGTTTATTTAATAAGCACAGTTTGGAATCCATTATTTATCATATCATAAGTGACGTAGCTACATATTTACCTAGATCCAAGATTAGTAGCGATAGCGGTTAAGTAATCTAGCAATGAAACCTCAGCATAGTTTTGAGCTATATCTTGAAATTAATCGCATCTAGAATCAAAAAGTCACACATTTGTTGTAATATATTCTTACACACATATTGCAATTCAAGACCAACAATTGAAATGGCCTTAAGTCAATTTTGTAAACAAACCTTGTGAGGCCATTTTCTCGCGAACCGAAGTCCGCCAAGGCAAACCAACATAATGAACAGGTAGGCGAAATTCTCCTCTACCCGATTGTGGTTTAGGTTTGCAAATGAAGGTTTCGGTTCGCGAGAAAATGGCCTTACAAGGTTTGTTTACAAAATGGAGTTAAGGCTATTTCAATTGTTGGTCTTGAATTGTCAAAGAAGAAAAGGTTTTCCTCAAAGAACAGCTCAGGAAATAAAGAATGGTGAATTCTGTGATTTTAAATTTAATAACAAAAAAACAGTTAACGTTGAATAAAATATGATGCCAAAGAACAGCTCATGAAATGAAGAATGGTGAATTCTGTGGTTTTTCATTCAATAACAAAAAACATACCTGCTGCTTCCAGGATTTCCTGCCGTATTTTTCGATACAACGATTCTGTTTTTGTTGTCATCAGAATGAAAACTAGCGGAACCGCCTGCTGATGTGAGGGAGCGATTCTTCCATGAACAG